GCAAAATTGCTGCAGACGGCAGGCATACTTGGGATGCGGGGAAACGTCGGGAACCCCCGACAATGATGTCACCCCTTAGCTTCTCTGGAAAGCTGCGGTGACCTCAGTTTGATCAATTGATGATTCCGTTGGTAAGGCTCTTCCATGTTATCAACTGTGCAACACGTGTCTTATATCGGAATTAAATGTTGTTGAGGGGTGGTTCAACGCAGGAATTCAACATTGAGAAGTTACAGATTGTAGAAGCTGAAAAGAAGAAAATTCGGCAGGAGTTTGAGCGTAAGGAGAAGCAAGTGGAAGTTCGCCGTAAAATGTAATTACTAAACATCAGTGTCACAGAACATTACTCTTTGGGATGGCTAGGCAAGTAGAAGTTCACTGTGAAAATTTAGAGTTCTCGAGCATCTATAAATTGAACACTTGTAAAACCAAGAATCAAGCCATTTGAAGCATTCATTTGTGAAGATGCAGATTATTAACTGGTCATGATCTTTTACAGACTTTGATTTGAACGAAGAACTATTTTGTCAATTAGGTTGCCTGTTTTTGATATAGTAGTGTTTTAGTGCACATCTCATCTATGACTTTTCAATTCTTGGTAGTGAATATTCAACGCAGCTGAATGCTTCCCGATTGAAGTTACTGCAAGCACAGGACGACCTGGTCCGCAAGATGAAAGAAGCAGCTGAGAATCAGCTGCGGAATGTTGGGTCTAGTGATAATGAGGATTATCCCCAACTTCTAGAAGCACTCGTCATCCAGGCACGCAGCCTCCAATATTCACCAATTTGTCTAATTTCAGCATAATAGTCTTCTAAGAACAGTCCACATCACTCATATTCAAGCAAACGGTCGTTGGGTGCTTTTTGCTGTCGTTTTTGTGCTGAAGGAGGTGACGTCTTGGTGTCCAGGGTTTGTTGAGGTTGAAAGAGCATTCAACACAGCTGCGGTGCCGTGAGCAAGATCTTGAGATGGTGCAGTCAGTGATCGAATCAGCGAAGAAGGCATACGCGGAGAAACTGAATGTCGATGTACCGGAGGTGTTTGTCGACGAGGAGCATTTCCTTCCTGGGCCACCAGGGTCATCTAACCACGGCTCTTCCTGGTATTAATCCTCTTTGTTTACTAATTCATTCAATGATGTCGAGACTCAGGAGTAAGGTGATCGTTGTGTAATGAATCCTGATTTTTTTTCTTTTTCTTTTTTTGTCTTTTTCTGTATCGCTCTGTCTCAGAGTTCAGGTACTATTCTGATTGTTTTATGCAGGAGTAGATTTTAGATTAGAGCCTCTACTGTGATAGTCTTGCCGTCTCCTACTCTTTGTAATGGCAACACAGAATTGGGACATACTCAACTCAAACGCAAATAGAATTATAGTAATGTCCTGACAACAGCGGGTCAGCTGAAATTGAGAAACCTAAGTAAAGTTCTGTTCTTGACTGAATTTGTTAGGACAAGCATAAGAATACTTAAGTTTATTTTTTAAGACAATTTTTTTTTCATTTTTGTGGCTACAGTACAGGAGGAGTGGTGTTGGCTACCAAGGACGGTCGCATCGTCTTGGAGAATACTTTAGATGCACGCTTGGAAGTTGTGTTCAAGCAGCAGTTGCCTGAGGTAGGTCCGCTGTTGCACTAAAATTCCATTTCGTCTTTGCATATCCTTTGAGTTATTTATGTATCCATCCACGTATCCACTTATGTGAGCGACCATAATGATGCTGACGGTTTCTGTTTCTTTGTAGTGTTTGTGAAGAGGTATTAGCTTTTTTCTTGTTCCAATTACAACTGAAACTAGGAAGTATAGGTTTAACTCCTTGATACCACTTTGGATGATGTTGTGATGTTCAGATCCGAAAGCGTTTATTCCCCTCAGGCGGGCAAGCAGGTGCCTAGGCATGTTATTTTCCTTGAATAAAAATAAGTTAACAACTTTCAGAACAGTTGTCGAAAAGTTTTCCTTTACAATTGAGTGGTTCTCTGTCGCTGGTCTTACATCAGAACGATTATTGTAATCTTACACATTTGTAGTTCATCTCTGCCACATCAACGCCTTTGATCTCTATATAAGTTGGAAAGATGGGTTCGACGCTGAGTAATGAATGCATGGCATTTCGTGTGCTCTTGCCCACCAACTTCTTAAGTTGATAACTATGAGTATCATTGACTGTTATGGTCATATTCGGCAATGGAATCCAGAACTGAGCATTGTGTGACCTCTAGTTCAAGTCTTTACATCCTCCAAAGTTGCAAATGGTGAAGTATTTGTAACTGTCTCCAATATGCTGTGGAAGAAGCTAAGAAGTTGAATGAGAAGCCAGGTGCTATGTCTTCGAAATACAGGAAACTTTACATACATGAACCCTAATCCATGCATTTGAATACGGAAATCGGAAGACTAAGAGATTATTTATCAGTTTGAATGTATACATCTTTTTCAAACATTTCTATAAATATTTGTCATTAGAATTGATCCAAGTGTAAAGTTTCAATAAATATTTTAGGTCTGTGTATGAGTATGAGTATATATATATACATATATATATATATATAGATTTTGTTTCATTTTTAATACTTCCCTAGAGTCTATTATAAATTGGCCATCTTTGTTAAGTATATTTGTAAATAACCATTTGGCATTTGAAGTTTATGGGGTTGATATCACCAGTGAATTGGGTGTTCAATGATGTATACAAATTAAATTATCTATTCAATTTTAACATTCTCCTCAATTTTTTTTTTATCTTTTTTTAAACTATAGTATTAAAAAAATTGTGTTATAGCTACAAACAAATAATAGGGCCATTACTGACACTTTACATAAAAACATTTAGGATATGATGGAGCGAATATTTTTAATAATATTAATTCTCTATACTTTATTTAACAAAACTAAGTAAATAAATCATTTACAAGCATTCAAATCCATTATATTTTTAGTATTTAGTTTCTTTTTGAAAAATTTAATTTATTTTTTTATGTACCAATTGCAAAACATACTTTGACATAATTTTATACTCAAGCTAAGTAATATGAAGAGAATTAAATATGCCAAGCTACATTAACAAAGCTAAATAAAAGAAAAAATGAGGTACTAGTTATGTATTTTGTTGTAAATTAAATCCATTGACTACCAATCAATTTCATTATATTTAATTTTCCAAATAAGGATGATTATGGTTTAAAAAATTAAAAAATCAACGTATACAAATCAAAATATTATTACAAAATTTAAAATAAGATCATGATGACTATCAAAAACATTTTTTATGTGTGTTTAATTATGAAATAGTGTAATTAACTATTGAATAAATAAATAAATAAATGAATAATGAAGCTTCTCAGTCATCCTTAGTGCCTTTGATATTCATTTAACAACATCAATTAATATATAATTAATGTGGAAATCGACACCAACAGTCGGAAGGCTCCAGGAAGAAGACAAAGGTGCCAACTCAGCACGGACCTTGAAAACCCCATAACCGCAGTTCCTATAACCGCGCCTGTCGAAGAATGACTTGGAGAGAACCCTTTTTCGTATAAGTGACGAGGGGGTGGCGTAGGTGTCGTAGAGGAATTCCATGCACTTTTTGATCGCGCAACGCAATTGCACTCTGGGTTGAATTGCATCCGCAATTTTGTCTAGCGTGGAGCGCGATCCACATCTCTGGAACTCTCGATCGAGCCCTTTCGCGTATTGTTTGGTGCTCAGATCACGATTCCGTGCCCTGATGTTGCGTTGAAAACCCTCGACAGATTGCTCGAATCCGCTCCAGTGAACTGCCCGAGCGCACCATTGCGATTCAGGGTTGTGCCAGTAGCTTAGTTGGGTGATTTAAGAGGGCTAGGCAAGATGAACGACTTGGAGGTCTCGAAGCAGGTGCAGCAGTTGGTGCAGTTTATCCGCCAGGAAGCGGAGGAGAAGGCTAATGAGATTTCAGTTTCGGCTGAGGAGGTACTTCCATCACGTCCCAGCCTTTTTTTTTTTTTTTTTTTTTTTTTTTTCGTTTTTTTGTTTCCTGCAGTTTCTCTTGTGATGAGGCACTCGTCAATCAAGAGGGTGTTGATTTTGCATTTGGTTATTGCCACGGAGTTCTAGATTTGGCTCAGTGGGTGACATTGCGGTGTGAGATCTCCAAAACGGGATTACCATAGGGCAGAGTTTTCGAGAGCCGGTTTAGTTGTCGTTAGTATGATTATTTAAAATTTCACAGTTAGACGAATACTGTCGTATTAAGTGGCACGAAATTCTTAGCTTAAATTATTGTTTTTAGGTTTTTTTAGGACGTTGGAGTCATGTCAGATCTTTGATTGTGATTTTTTGAATGTGTATCCAACTCTGTTTACTGGAATTCCCGAAAAATTTAAGGGTTAGGGTGATGAAAGATTTGGCGTTTATTCAATCCTGGTCTTCGACGTTGATTTGTTCTAGCGTTGGTGATAGCGCTATTTTACTCAACATAATTGACTCAACATTCAATGTAGAAGCTGGGTTGTTGGACGAATGAGCCGTCTCTGATTCTGCTTCTTTTTTTAAGCTCTGAAGTTGCTTCTCAGTCTATGCAGTTCCCCTCTTATCTTTTCTAACCCTTTTGTTTTTTGTTTTTTGTTTTCCTTCTTTCCTTTTTTTCTTCCTTACCAATTCTTCATAGCGTGCGGATACATAGGGTCTAAATAACGATCCACGGGGCTTATTTCAGGAATTCAACATTGAGAAGCTACAGATTGTGGAAGCTGAAAAAAAGAAGATCCGACAGGAGTTCGAGCGCAAGGAGAAGCAAGTGGAAGTTCGTCGTAAAATGTAATGCTTTGATTCTACTCATGATCTGGTTCTTTGTGATCTATATTTACTTTTCTTTCTAAATAGATCAGGTAACCGTGCAGGAACTGGATTGCTGAGTAACTATATTTTAACAGTATGCCCAATTGGCCTCGCATGTGCAGTGAATACTGATATTCGAGCAACTACTGATATCTGTCGTTTTTAGTTATGAAGATTTAGGAAATTGTTCGTTGTTTCCCTTTGAAAGCTTTATTTGATGATAGATTTTCATGAGGAGCAATCTATTAATATAAGAAAAACCACCACCCAGATGCTGGGTGAAGCACAGTAGCAATGCCAACTCTGGGCACCTTGTGAGTTTTCAATGATCTGTTGTTCTGAAATTTTGGCAGTGAGTATTCCACACAATTGAATGCCTCTCGGTTGAAGCTCCTGCAAGCACAGGATGATTTGGTTCGTAAGATGAAAGAGGCCGCTGAGAAGCAGCTCCAGATGGTTGGATCCAGTGATAATGAGGACTATCCCAAACTTCTCGAAGCGCTTATCATCCAAGTATGCGATTCCCAGTCTTTTGACAATGTGATTGGTTACAGCACAAGAGTGCTCTTTCAACATTGTTACATTCTGAAGAGAATGGCTTATATGTGCTGAAGTCCGTGACATATTTGTGTCCAGGGCTTGTTGAGGCTGAAAGAGCACTCAACACAGCTGCGGTGCCGTGAGCAAGATCTTGAGATAGTTCAGTCAGTGATCGGATCAACGAAGCAGGCATATGCAGAGAAACTGAATGTCGATGTACCGGAGGTGTTTGTCGACGAGGAGCATTTCCTTCCTGGGCCACCAGGGTCATCTAACCACGGCTCCTCCTGGTATCAATCCCTCCCTTTCATCCGAATTTTAGCAGAGTGGTATTGTGTGAATTCAGATTACATGAATGTGCTTAGTACATTAGAACACGGAAATTTCGATCATACAAATTCCTGAACTTGTGTCTTCAACCGAAGCTTCATCATCCTAGTAGGAGCTAATTGTCCTCATGCTATGAGGGATGCGTGTTGACCTATTGCGTCTGGTTTATCTCTAAGTTTTTGAAGATGATAAGTCGTGACGGCTGTGATCCCATGCAATGAAAATTCATTGAAGCATTGAGTAGGTTTCTTGTGCCAACCATCATTCTTTCAGGGCTGAGCTTTGTAGTTGGTTTGGTTCTTACTTCG